ACAACAATTTATTTAAAACAACATTTTATATGTTTAACGTTCTTTTTATACATACAAGTATTTAAGTAAATGCTCTGTTTATAATAAACGTGTATTAAATAACATTTACCGGCCTGAAGGTCGAGAAATTTTCATAGGAAAATATTCGTCCTTTGACAAATTCGAACCTGCATCTATACGGAACCGTCATTTACGCGTTTATTATAAACAGAGCATTTACTTAAATACTTGTATCTATAAAAAAAGAACGTTTCATAAAAATGTTTTTAATATATATATATATATATATATATATATATATATATATATATATATATATATATATATATATATATATATATATATATATATATATATATATATGATAGGTTATTCTGGATAGTGGACGTGACAGAATTGGTCGGTAGTATTATGTATCTGTTTTCATGTGATTTACTATTGCGGATTATGTTATTAGTATTGTATATTCTGTATGCCTTTCTTCTTGCCTTGTGGGCGCAATGATAGGGGTATTGTAGTTTTTTGAATGTGTTTTCTATGTATGTTTCTTCTTTAAATAAATATTGGGGACTACAGATCTGGAATTATTATAGGCTTCTATCTAAGATCATTAAGAATCTGTAGTTGCCAATATTTATTTAAAGAAGTAACATACATAGAAAACACATTCAATAACCTACAATATACATATCATTTCATCCACAACAACCAAATCACGGCTCAAAAGTTTAAACAAGTAACATCCAGATAATAAAGTTAAATTAATAATAATAGTTATGACATGAATAATAAATAAATAATTTAAATGAATTGAACAAGGACAATTAAACAAATTTGAAGTAACGAATATAAATGACTTTAAAAATTACCCCCAGAAAAATCTGTAATGAAGGTTCCCCATATCATTCATCTTCAAATTAATTCCTAGTGGACAATATGTCGAACCCACAAATGCGCAGTGATTTTTGTTGAGCATGATATTGAAAAACACCCTGCAGTATTGATTTCTAGGTCCCCACAGATTCTGCTGAATGTTGCAAGTTGAAGTGACCAAGAATGGGAGAATATTAGACTTCTTCTAGTGTTAATCTTACATAGGTTGTGAGCTCAATTCACGAAGCAGTAAGATCCGTCCAGCCTATTTGCAGTATTCGCTGAATGGGTGCTGAAGGCGTTTGCAACAGTGTATAAGCATATTGCCCCGAGCAAAGGGTCTAATTGGAAAAAAGATAGCCAGCTGTTACACACACACGCTCACACAGGCACACATGCTCACACAGACACACACACACAGACACACACACACACACACACATATATATATATATATATATATATATATATATATATATATGTGTGTACGCAAATGTTTCTTCTCTCTGTCTATTTCAATCAGATCAGATGCGTTATCTATATGTCCGTCTGTCCATCTATTTATTTCAATAAATTGATATCGAGCTTTCTATTACAGTTATTGATATCTATATATCTCAGTCAGTTTATATTTATCTATCTCAAATGATATCTATTTCAAGAATTGATATCTACCTATTCATTTTGCTCAATCAAGTGATATCTAATTCTCTATTTATATTTATGTATATCTATCTACTTCATTAAATTGGCATACATACATACACACATATATATATAATTAAATATATATATATATATATATATATATATGTGTGTGTGTGTGTGTGTGTGTGTGTGTGTGTGTGTATGGCAATTCAACATGCCAACTTTTGTTTCTCTTCTTTGTTTCACTACATCACGTATATCTAATTCTTTTCATTTATACCGATGCTTACGAAATATTTTTCACCTCATAACGACAGAAATTTTGAATCTTAAATGTGGAATAGTTCTAAGACTGTATTCACTGACACGATTTGGTAGTTCAAGCAGAAACATTTAATAAAGTGCGCGCACACACACACCTATATATATATATATATATATATATATATATATATATATATATATATATATATATATGATCGTTATTTTAACTCATAATATCGGAACGATATTCTCAGCTTCCGATTTGGGTCGCACTTAATTATACGCGATATTCATAGGCTTCTCGCATGATACGTGCTAACTCGTAAAAACATACCTGGCACGATGTTAATACAACAAACACACAGATACACAAGTGTAAATATGCACGTACAATAGAGATATGTATCGAGTGAATTTAACGAAAAACACAGCTATATACATATAATTTCAGAATAAATTATAAAAAGTAAACATATATAAGTAGATAATTTAGAATGTTTCAACGCATTCTTTATTCTGCTTTTATGACCTCCGTCTCATCAGTTTTCCATGTCTAACCAAGATTAAGACAAGCTCCCTCCAGACAAAAAGTACATAAGATCCATTTTAAAGTGGTACTTGGGAATATGCTCCAGTACGTAATTGACTTCTCCTGCTCTGACTAGTTTTCACATTCCGTTCCTGATACAGACAATTACATCATTTTTCACACAGACGAATCAGTGCAAGCACCTCCGTGTCTTATTTCTCTTTCCAAGTAATATGTCCTAAATTGTGAAATGCATATTTCTCCCAAAATCTTAGCTTTCCAGCCAAGTCCAATTCTGTTAGTTTATTTATTTATTTATTTTTTGCTGTGTGGAATAGCATCCCAGGAGGATGATTTTCAAACCACGACAGTTCTACCCACTTCAACGCCTATATTTTACTCATATCCTTATTTGTTGTGCCACTTACACTTTCCGCTCACGCAACAACAGCCTTCAGTAAACGACTAACTTTAGTGATTCTGATGCCACGTTTATAGTAAACATTAGTAAAGATTCCTATCTTTTCTGGGAATTAAGCAATATGTGATGTATTACTCTCCATCGAAATCAATTTTTGGTCTCCAATTAACACAATATAGTTAGATTTGCTTCATTCAGCACCATGTCTCTTACCCAAAAACCATTTTCAGTAACCTTCTAACTTGGATGTTTCTAGGCACTAGTGCAAAGTGAACGTTAATAAATATTCCTTTGATGCCATACTCGTCTTTGAATGCATCCTTCGGCTATGCTCTGGATAAATATTGGTAAAAATTTCTATCCTTTTTTTAATTATGTAATATTTGTTATCTTATCCTCTCTCGGGTGTCTTTTCGTCCTTCCATGTGCTTTCTTCTTGCTCTTACCACTCAACAACCCTCTTCAGTAACCGTCTAGCAAGAATAATCATAGCCCTTACTTATGGTAAACATTAGTAAAGATTCATACCTTTTCTGGCATTAAGCAATATTTTACGCCTTACTCGCTTTCTCTATCTCTCTCAATCCCTTTTCAATTTTCCATTAACACAATCGAGTTAGATAATTAAAACAAAAACTTGTAGTTTCAACGAATGATAAAAACGCGTATGCTTTTACTTTGTAAACGTCATCAACTCGGTGTTTTCATTGATTTGAATTCTTAACCTTTTATAGTTATATTGCATCATCTTACTCAAATTAAAGAGTGACTAATGCTAGCAACAGCTAGTCGAAATATTTCCATGAAATAAATCCTTCGTGGGAACTACAAGATTTCGTTTAATTATGCAACTACCAACGCAGACAAAATCTGAACTTTGACAATCGAGTTATGTTTGCGTCCTTCATCATCATATCTCTTACATTCGGTACCCTTTTAACTTGAATGGTTCTAGGCACTTGCTCAAGGTGAACGTTAGTAAATATTAATTTGCTGCCTTACTCTCCCTCGAATGCATCTTTCGCCCTTGCTCAGCATAAATATAGGTAATGATCTCTATTTTTTTTTGCATTAAGTAATATTTGATGCCTTATTCTCGCTCGAACGTCGTTTTCGTTTTGTATATGTTTTCTTCTTCCTTTTACCACTCAAGAATCGTTTTCAGTAACCCTCTAACAAGAATGATCCTTGCCCTTGCTTATAGGAAACATTAGTAAGGATACTTATCCTGTAGGGAATTAAGTAATGTTTGAAGCCTTACTCTCCCTTGCTCGAACGCTGTTTTCGGCGTTATACTAATAAAAGTTAGTTATGCACCTTTCAGCCACTTAATTTGGATGATTCTAAGACCTTCCTTATGGCAAAGATTTCTATACCTTATATCAATCAATATTTGACGTAATTTTTTTCAGCCTTACATTAACGCAGTCTATTTAGCTATGCTTCTTTCAGCCACATAACACTCACGCAACAACCATCTTCACTAAGCGTCTAACATGATTTATTCTAATCACTTGCTTACGGTAAACATTAGTAATAATTCCTATCCTTTATGTCATTAAGCAATATTTGACGCCTTACTCTCCCTCGAACGACCTTAAGACAAACTAGGTAAATATGATTTCTCTCACCTTTGACCTCTCACGCAACAACCGTTTTCAGCAACCGTCTAACGTGAATGATTTTAGTCCCTTGCTTATGGGAAATTGTAGTAATTATTTCTATCCTTTATGTCATTAAGCAATATTTGAGGCCTTACTCTCCCTCGATGGAGATTTTCTGTCTTCAATGAAGACAAGCTAGTTAGATATGCATCTTCAACCTTTGACCTCTCACGCAACAATCGTTTTCAGCAACCGACTAACGTGAATGATTTTAGGACCTTGCTTATGGGAAACAGTAGTAGTGATTCGTATACTTTATGACATTTAGCAATATTTGATTTTCTTATCACTCGATCACCCTATTGGGTGTTTCATTAGCGTTGCTTCTTTCTGGCTTTTATCGCTCACGCTACAACCGGAATTAGTAGCCTTTTAACTGGAATGTTTCTAGGCCCTTTGCTTTGTGCAATGAATCGACACATTTCCTATAATATATTATGCAATATATGACACCTTACGTTACGTTGAGCGACCTTTTCGGTGTTTCATTAACGCAAGAAAGTTAGGTATGCTCGTTCAAGTTCGTTTGCTTTCAAGATATCCTCTGAGTGGGAAAATCTCTAAGCCTTCTCTCTTCTTCATACGTTCCATAAGATTTCAA